TAGGCCTGAGCATCGGTCGGCCACGGTCGGTTTCGGACCAAAATTCCTAAAATCATCCGAAACCGATTAAGAAAAATCAGGGGCCATTTCCGACCGACGAAGAACTCAGATTTTGGCGGGTTCAATCCGTGCGGGTTACGGGTTCATCGGATGGATTTATCGGTTTGAGAAGCTTCCTCGTCGCCATCCGTCGCCATTCTTTGCCGGTCTCTGTCGCTGCTTCATTTGGGGGAAATCACGGAGTTTCAGATCTCCGCATCACCACCTTCATCAACCAGAACAGGAAGTTTCTCAGCAGCGGTAGCCATGGAAGAAGAAGAAAGAAGCAGAAGAAAGAAGACGAAGTGAAGAAGAAGAATAAAGAAGACAGTGTGAAGAAGAAGAAGAAAGAAGCAGAAGAAAGAAGATGGAGTGAAAAAGAAGAAGAAAGAAGACGGAACGAAGAAGAAGAAGAAAGAAGACGAAGTAAAAATGGAGAAAATAAACGGTGAAGACGAAGGTGAAGAAGAAGAAGATAAACGGTCGGATTCGGGTACATCGGATGAGAAAATTCCAACACCGAATCCGACCGTTCAAAACCGTTTGAACCCGAAATTTGCTTCAAAAAAAATCCGATATACCTAAGAATCAATCCGCCTCACCCAATCTGATCATCGGTTTGGCCGGTTTCGGATCGGCCGGAAATTTTTGCACAGGCCTATTATAACTATTATATCATTTAATAACTTTCAATTCCATGATTTTTTTCAAAATCTTCCATTGGATTGAAATTTCATTTCACTTGGATCATATATATATAAAATTTTATATTAATCGAAAATTTTATATGCACACAAACATACATCACTCACACGTGAATCCAATTAATTCAAAAATTTCAATAAATCACACCCTTGAATAAAACTTTTATATTTATGAGGTAACATTTTTCCAAGATTAACAGAAATATATACCACTCATATATCAATGTAGTCAATGGCAAAGAAACCCATATCTCAGCAGGCACAAAACTGATACCTGATCAAAATCAGAGACTGACCAAGTGTATCCGAGTACAAGCATCCAGCGATCTGAAATGAAACCAATTGATCTTCGTAAATTTGGCAATTTAAACTGAGAAATAAATGTAAATAAAACATGGAACGTAACTAATTTAATGAAAAACAACAAAATACTTACTTAGACGACCACGACATCATGTCCCTGAAAACAAACACTATTGTGCAACAAATAATTTTAGCTCTGGATGAACATTATTCAGTTTCATCAAGAGCTCATTGCATTTAATGTTTGTTCCTTTTAATGTATTTTCACTATGTTGTGAAAATTTTGGAAGAATCTTCTCTACATCAATATCTTTTGACATGTTACACAGGCAAGCTAAGATGGTAGAAGTTAATTTTGAGTCCAGGATAACATCCTTATCAGCCATTTGATGAAGCAAGGAAATGATTTTTTCTGTCTCTCCCTTTAAACCATAGCCCTTTAGCAAAGAATCAAATACAACAACATCCGGCACATGACCACACGAGATCATTTTCTCATAAAGCAACCTGGCCTCGTCCAACATCCCAAGTTTTGAGAACCGGTTTATTAATATAGAAAAGGTTACAGTATCAGGGGCGAAATCCATGTTAAGCATCTCCAATAGCAATTCCTTGGCAGATATAATGTCTCCTGCTTTGAGGGTTTCATCAATTATTATATTAAAGGAGAAAACATCAACTTCGTGATTCACATTTCTCATTTCTTGAAACAGACTCCTAGCCTGCTCCAAACTATCTTCCCTGCACAAGGATGCCATTAGTGCATTGTAATCAATTGCCGTAGGCCTAATCCCAGAAGCTTTCATTTTACTAAAAAAACCCTTTGCCATACTCAGCATCTGCATTTTGCACAGACCATTAATCATGACATTATATGTCATTGAATTGGGAGAAAATCCAGAGTCTACTGCATGCTTCCAGAGTCGCAATGCCTTAACAAGTTTCCGAGCATGTAGATAACCCTCAATCAAGACATTATAAGTTACTATGTTACCTAGAAACCCCATTTCAACCATTGTTGAATGGATCCTCACAGCATCTTGAAGACGCCCTTCCTTGCAAAGACCCTGAATTACACAATTAAACGTGAACACATCAGGCTTCATATGAAACTCCTCACTCAACAACAGCTTCCAAAGGTCCATCACCTCATCAATTTTCCCAGCTCCAAACAATCCTTTCAACAATGTATTATAAGTAACCACATCAGGCTTCTTCCCCCTCTTCACCATCCTCTCCACAATCCTAAGCGCATCTTCGACCCGACCCTCCTTACAAAATCCATTCACAACAACATTGTATGTCAAAGTACTTGGCTCCTCCCCCTTCTTCACCATCAAATCCAACACCTTAACTGCATCATCCGCCCTCCCATTCTTGCACAGCCCATCAGCCAAAACCGTGTAAGTAACACCATCAGGCCGAACTCCACGCGCCATCATATCATTCAACATACCGGCCGTCTCGCGCCACCGGCCGCTCTTACTGAGACCCTGCATCAAACAGCTGTAAGTAACCACATTGGGACTAACCTTCTTCCTCAACATCTGATCAAAAAGCTCCCTCCCCCTCTCAACATCACCCTTGCCACAAAAGGCACTAATGAGAGAACTATACACAAACACATCAGCACACAAACCCTCCCTCTCCATCTCCTCCAACAACCCTAACCCCTCACCAACCTCACCACTCTTACAAAGACAATCAATGAAAACACTATATGTCACAAGGTTGGGCCTGCAAGGCCCAACCTTCATTGCCTCAAACAAACCCCTAGCTTCCACCAATTTTTTAGCTTTACAAAACCCACTCATGAGCGTATTGTAAGTAAACCCATCGGGAACCACAGAATCGGAATTTTTCTTCATCTGGGAAAACAAAGCCATGGCCTTGTCGACGTTACCGCTCTGGGAAAAACCCTTCAAAACGAGGTTTAGGTTATAGACGTTAACCCCAAAACCGCGCTTTATCATTAGCCCCAGGACCCCAAAAGCGAAACTTGGGTGGTGGGTGTTGACGAAGCTTTCGGTTAAAGCGCTGAGAGTGGTGAAGGTGGGCGAAACGCGCGCGAGAACCATTTTGCGGTAAACGGAGACGACAAGGTGGTAGTTTCGTGACTTGCGAAGGTTGTCTATGAGGGAGTTGCAGGGTGGTGAAGTGGGGTCGGCGATGGTGCAGTGGAAGCGGGAAACGGCGTCGCATAGTGAGTGAGGCTTGCAATTGTGAGAGTGGGGTGTTGAAGAGCAGGCTTGTAATGATGGAGGGTTCAGGAGGCGTTTGGGGATCATTGTTCAGTGTTAGGACTTTAAGGTTTGAGAGTGGAACTTGAAGGGGGAAGTGAATTTGATTTTGAGGTTGAGAACTCGGCTTTGAATCGGAGGGTAATATTTTTTTGAGAAAAAACTTATATTTTATTTTTCACTTAATTATATTTTTAGTCATTTAAATTAGAGATTTTTTTTTCTTAATTCTAAAATTTATATTTTTAATTGTAAAGTATTATTATTTTGATTTTTCAAATTTAAATTTTATATTTATGGTCTTTGTAATTTTGAAAAAATTATTTTAACTATTAATATCATGATTAATAATGATAAATTTAATTAATAATGATAAATTGAGAGACTAAAATAGTAAATTTTGATTTTAAAAACTAAAATAATCTTTGTTTTGAATAATATCTTAAAGATTTAAATTATCATTTCTCAACTCATAAGTTAAAATAAATAACTTAAAGTTTTGAATTATCATTGTCTCCATTGTCAATGTTGCTACCATCATTATTGTAATTGTCTCTATTGTCACTCTTGTTACCTCTTCACTTCACAACCAGTTTGAGGTGATAATAGTTGTAGAGCAATTTTGTAATAAAAGTACTTGAAACATTAGCGACCAACTCATGACTTTTCATAACTTTAATCAAAGCCACTACAAATCAATATTACTTCATTGTAATAGCTTCAAGTTGTCTCTAACAACTAACTCTTGAAACAACAATCACCTAAGGAAATGGTAGTGAAAATCAAGTTGAAAAAAAGAATGATTCACATAAGAGTTTTAATGTCTAGTCAGATGAATAAGAATGTCATAATAAGTCTTCAAGTGATGATGTAGAAATTCTTTACTCATAAACTGAGATGGTTATGTGCTATAAAAATGATAATATAATCTATGATATTGTTATTTAGTTTGATAGTTGATTTTGAAGTGAAAAGATGATCTTGTATGGGTGAAAAGGGGAAAGATATATGACAAAGGAAATTTTTTTAAAGTACTAAAGAAACAAAATCATCGAACAAGTTCCAAAGAGATAAAAAAAGACTACATAATTAAAGATAAAAATTGAATAATCCATAATTGAGATTTTGCTTGATTAGGTACCTATTTTGACATCTCCTTTGAAATATATGCTTGTTGTTTCATATTTATTTTTTGCATAACTCAAATGTTTTAGGATTTCACCATCATAGATGATCCAAGAAGATTGGGTCAGAAATGAGATTAGTGAGCCTAATCCTTTAAGGAGACAAGAAAGTTCTATTTTAGACAGTTTAGTTTTGGGGATCTAAGTGATCATATAGGACAACAAAGCATGTTGTTTTAGGTGGGGTGAGTCAAGTGGGTTGATGCACTACGATGCCTAACCTGACCTACAAATTTTTGACAGACTAACGAGTCGAGACCTATTTTGTCATCCCTAAGTGTGAGTCAACGGCAAGTAAACCCATAAGATGCAAGGAAACTAATTGGTAGGATCCCTCTACATGATACCTTGCAAATCATCTTAAAAATGGATAGGAGGGTGGTAATCTTGAACAAAATCCATGTTCATATACTTTGCACTTTTTTATGATGAAAAAAAGAAATTCATATCATAAAGACAACAACATTTTCTCGTCATCAAGATCAAGTGATAACAATGACTATAATGACAACGATGAGTTGACAATAACAATAGTATCATTTATGATCGAGACTTTAAGTAAATTTTTTTAATATATATATATAATAAAGAAACTAAAATAATAGTAAGTGATTAAGTTCAACAAAAGTGTTTCTCCCTTTTTTCTAAAAAAAAAAAATACTTTTTGGAAAAGTTTATTTAAACAGACTCTTTGTTAATGATTAATATTTATTAAGGAATCTGATTGATCATGTTTAATGAAATCTTTCTACCTAACCAATTTTTTTTTAATTTGCAATATTTAAATATGAGATCGACTTAAAAAGATCAAGTTCAATTTTATCAAAAACTAACTACTCGTTAGTATATATATATATATATATATATATATATATATATAAAATTTATAATACATTTATATATAATTTTGACTATTAAAATATTTACTTTACTATATTAAAGTTATTCACTCTTGAATAATTGAATCCATTTTCAAATTATAATGTGTTGTAGAACTTAGAGACTCAACTAGTTCAACTTGCAAGTAAATAAAGATACATAAAATTCACCTTTCTTGGGAATTAGCCAAATATTTTTCTGGCCAAAGTTTTTGATGCGTTTCACTCATACTTTCTTCCAAAATTATAACATAAAAGAGATAAAAAAAAAATAGACAAATCCAATGACATGAAAATACGGTTATTTGAGTACTAAAACATAGGTTCATTCATTATATATTATTAATGGGATACACTTCGTATCTCTATATTTTATTTATTAAATATTCAAAAAATTATCAATATTTGTTAGGGCAACTAATGTTACGTTTAGTTTTGAAATTTTAAAGTCATAAAATATAAGATAATTAATTTTTAATATTATTTCAATTATTTAAAAAGTTTAAAAAAATTATCTATAAAATATGTACATCAAATCAAACTATCAAACTATCGTATTTATATATTTTATAAATAAAAATATAGTTCTCTCATAAATAATATTGAACACTCAATATCGCTCATGAAGTAGAGTTTAAAGACAAGAAGACACATGCATCCCATATGAACATGCAACCGCTCCATCCTTTATTTTTCACTCGAACAATATTAGCTATATATACTCTCTAAATTCTTTTTACTATTAGTTAAAATTTATCAAAAAATCATAAACTTTTTAAATTTCAATTTCACATTTTATTTATTCAACCTCTCTCCTTAAGGTTCAATAAACTTCCATCATTAGTAAAGAATAATGTAGAGATTATCGCTTGCATTTTTTTTTCCTCATTATGAATAAGGGAATCTAAAGGCTGGCTTTTTGACCCAAGTAATTAAAAAAAAATAAAAATACACAAAATAAATTAAAAAAAAAACAATTTATCAAAATAGGTAGTTTTGGACATGTCAGCGCTGACTGGGCATGGATGGCGCCTGGGGGTTGGGCGTTTTATAGAAAACGCCTCACCCCCAGGCGCCATCAATGCTGAGGTGGCATTGTGCAAAGAAAACGCCCAGGGGGGAGGCGCCATGCACACGTGGCACGTTTGTGTTGAAAACGCCCCACCCCCAGGCGCCATGTGTGCCTATGTGGCATGCACTGAACGCGCCTCCCCCCCAGGCGCCATTTGTGCACTGTTCCAACTTCCCTCATTCGTTTTAATGATGCTCGTGGGTGGGAGATGGCGGGGGTGCTAATAATATTTGTGCAAAAATGCTTGAGGTTCCAGCGCTTCCGGCGCTTTTAGAGTACCTGTGTTGCTCACATTTTTTGCTCACAGAAGTTTATTTAGACGTTTATCAGGTATGTTTTGAATTTTAATTATTTTAAAGTAAGAAAAAAATATAAATAGAAAATGTTGAGGGGTCTTCGTCACTCGTTTGTGGGTGTGGAACGGCCCGTTCTGTTTTTGGAACGGGCCGTTCTGGATAAAGTAAATGGGTGTTATTTTGGATGTGGAACGGGCAGTTGTGAAATCAGAACGGCCCGTTCTACTTTTAGAACGGGCCGTTCTGAAAGTAGAACGGGCCGTTGTGGGGCCGTTCTCGTTGTTTCATTTAGTGAAGTATGGATGGGTTCAGAACGGCCCGTTCTGTTTTCGGAACGGCCCGTTCCGAAACCCAAATTTATACACTTTTTGTGCAATGAGAACGGCCCGTTCTGAAACCAGAACGGCCCGTTCTCATTGCAATAATGAATGATTTCAATTTAAAATGTTGAATTATTATGAGGGTTTAAATTAGGTATTTAAGTATTTATAAAATTTAGAAATAAATTTTTGTTTGAGTTAATTTAATTTGTTTGTTTGTTGAATTAT